CCCTTCTCTGCAATCTGATTCCCTAATGACTGTCACTGGAGAAACCCTCACTCGCTTGGGGCTTGGGAAAAATAAGTTTAAACATTTCATGGTGGTTGACGGAACTTTGTCCTAAAAGTGCTGATTCCGATTCTTTAAAACTCGCTTAACGTTTATACCAAAGGTCACGCTCTGCAGGTGTGTGTGGTGCACAGAGGGCGAGGTCTGGAGCACCGAGCGTAGTGTGCATTGCTGAGGGAACATAGTGAGACAAAGTGAGACAATATGGGGTTTAACTGAAAACACATCAGTTGTGGGTGACACTACCAGTGTTGTCAGGTATTTGTTCTTAATTGTTGTAATATATTTTCAGTTGTTTTTCTAATTTAATTCTCTCACTGTTGTCTGACTGTGAACTGCTAACAGTGTTAAACTTGATGTAAATAAATGAGGTCCTTGAAAGGGACTGCTCTCTGCCTGTCGTCTCACAAGGTTTGCCAAGTGGTGTTGTTTTCAATAAAGGTTGCAATATTTTATTGGCAAAATAGGCTTGAGATTGGAGTGTTTCTCCCATGATTCTGACAGGGAATCCAAGCAGAATTTCTGCGTAAAAATCGATGTCTTTAAGGCAAAGAAGCATCCCTCTGGCACATTCTTTAGTCTTCTCTGTGCGGGTGAATACTCATCCTCCGATGGATTACATTTTTGGGAATGGATAACAGGCATTATCTGGAGCCCAAGCTGATGTGCAGAAGGTGAGTAATGTATGTGTATGTCCCCAACAGGAGGGGACTGTAGAGTGAAACTTAATTCTGTCAAAATTCCTTCTGAGGACACCTCCAAATGAGTTCTAAAACTGTTTTGAACCAAAGTGGCCTTGGTAAAGTGTAGACCTTCACAAGAAAACAAACATCCTGTTCTTGTTCGACTTGGTCTTCAATTTTTTTAAGTGAGTTACTGCTTTTAGAAGCAACCCTAATTAGATACGAGTGGAATATACACATACGTAAGGCCCACTTAGAATGGCTGCTTCAAATCAGTTTACACACTGCCTCACACTCCACCTGCAGACCTTTCTCCCTCCCATTTTTGGTTTAGAAAGTTTTGTTTTTAGACTCTTCCCAGAAGGACCTCCCACTGAGAGGTGTTACGGCCCCCAGCTTAGAGTGTTTTGACTTTATGATGGCATGAAAGCAAAATGCATTCAGCAGAAACTGAACTTTAAGTACTCAAACAGGCATTGTTTCATTCAGTACAGTTCAAAAAAGGACAAGAGAAATTCAAAACTTGATTATAATACAGGCGTTGTGTTTAGCTGTTTTGCCCAGCTGTAGACTAAGGTAAGCGTTCCTAGCACATTGAAGGTAGGTGAGGCTAAACTGTGGCATCAGTAGGTTAGGTGTTTGGGGCATTTTCGACTTAGGGTATTTTCAGCTTCTGATGGGTTTCCTGGGATGTAACCCCATCATAAATCCTAGAGTGTCTGTGCTTTTAGCATTTTCCACACCTGAGATGCACTTGCTGAGGTCAGTTGAGAAGCAAGGAAGTCGTTAATCTGTAGCAGCTGGAGCCAGACTGCCTGGGGCCAAACCCCCACCCCTCCACTGACTAGTTTTGTGACTTTGAGCAAAAAATTTAACTGCAGTTTTATTGTTTATATTTTTCTTATTCTCAAACACCTCATGATATTGTGATATAAGAAATATATATTTGGTTTCTCATGTTCCTGACAGTTTCTAAAACTCTCAGAACTTCCTGAGGGACGGGTGAAAGGAGCATCTGTTGATATTCACAATCCCCTGCCAAGCGAGTCTGAGTCTGTGCTAAGTAGGGCACTCTTGGAGGACAAGAGGCTGGTTGCTAGTGGAAGCAACCAGGTGATTAGACGGTTGGAGCTTCCCACCCTCTTTCTGACTGAAGAGAGGGAGAGGCTACAGGTGGACTTCCAGTGATTTAATCAGTTGTGCCTGTGTAATTAAACCTCCATGAAAACCCTGAGTGAGGGACTTCTGATGCTAGGAGAGTGGCACTCTGTGCATCTCTTCCATTTGGCTGTTCCAGAGTTGTAGCCTTTATAGTAGGCCTGTAACGAAGTGTTTCCCTGGCTTCTGTGCAGACTATAGAACCTGAGGAGAGCCCCTGATGTAGCCAAGCCGGACAGAAGCGTGGGTAACCTGGTGACTCACTACTCCAGCATCTGAGGTGGGGGGCAGTCTTGTGGGACTGGGCCCTTAGCCTCTGGGGTCTGCAATATCTCCAGGTAATATCTGACTTGAACTGAAAGGCACCCAGTTGGTGTCCACAAAAAACTGGAGTATTGCTTCATGTGGGAAACCCACACCTATCGTGTGTGTAGAGAATTTTTTTTTTTTAACTTTCGTAAGTTGTGTTTACAACCATCTATTTTAACATCTCCAAAAAAGGTTGAATTCATTATTTTACATCAGCATTCTGTAAGTTAAAAAGAATAATCAAGTTGTCTCATGAACTGGAAGGTGGCTTATTAATTCCCTTTCATTTCCAAACCTCATCAAGCAGTCACTACACTTATGAGGCAAGTCAGCTGAATGCTTGAAATCAAGATGAATTTTAAGATCTTCAATCTGTCCTGTTGAATATTCGCAATATTGACATAAGTAAATTCCTTCGGATAAATGTGAATTTAAATGCTTGAAATATTCTAGCATACTTGAAAAGCCTTTCCCACAGTCATCACAAACGTGAGGAAAGATTTTCGTATGTTCGATAGCAACATGCCTGTTAACATTTGTATGAAGTCTACTCCGAAAGCCACATACTTGACATGCAAAAAAGTTTTTACATTTGTCAAAAGTAATTTTGCTTAAGAGGCTGTACTGTCCGTGTTCTCCATTGTTATACTTATCACTTAACTCTATTAGTTTACATGCATGTTCATTTACTACGTGGCTATGCAAGTCTTCTGGATCATTGGTTTCATGTTCACAGAACTGACACAAGTACTGTTCATCACAGCTGTGCTCCTGGAAATGCAGGTACAGTTCACTGCTTGAGGAGAACTGTACATCACACTGCTCACACCAATAGAGGTGATCACTAAAATGGGTGTCTGCAATGTGCTGGCTGAGGTTCTCAAAAATTACAGTCTTATAATCACAGTATTTACAAATGTAAGGATCCTCTTCATGTAGTTTGGCATGTTCTATCAGAAGCATGTTGGTAGAGAAACTTTCCTTGCATACTCGATACACATTTGAGTCAGTACGTTTATGCTTCAGGATCATACGCTGCTTTAAGTCAGAAAAATATTTGCTGTTGAACTCACAAAGTTCACATTTATAGAGGCCACTGCTATTAGCTCTCAGCAAAGGCCATTTCTGCTGGGCAGCCACATTCAAAGCTTGGCTCTTGTCAAGAATTTTACAGAGTTTAGCTGGTGGTTCTTCATCAATTTGGTCTTGGATACTCTCAGAGGAATTGTTTTCTGTCTCTATATCATGATCTTCAGAAATCGCATGTACTTCTACAGCAATCGGAACATCTTCAGCAGCGTGAACTTCTATAGGACTCAAGAGTCCTCTTGAGTTTGCTGGTTGACTGATTCAGGTGAGTCACACTCTTCATCACAGATTTCAGTATCAGCAGACTTTTCTGCAGAAAAGGCTGTGTGGTCTAGAATTCTAAGTACAGGACTGGGAACCAGATAGTTCTGATTTCTGTTCCTGGCCTTGATTCCATCGGTAAATTTTGGTAAGTCATTTGATGTCTCGGTATCAGAATCGTCTTTGTTGTCAAAATATTTTAAGTCTGGCTGTCTCATAGAACAGACACTATAACAATGATCAGAAAAAATTCCAATGAATTCATCTGCAATTCTGCTTATTCCAGAGGAGTCTGAATAACGAGAAGGGTGTAAAGTCTTTTTCTTTTTTTAGGATACTCATTCATATCTTTTCAATTTGGTATAATTCTTATTACTGGAGTCATAAGAATGAATTATGGGGACGCTTCCACAGGTGGTAAAAAAAGGCCGGTCTCCCGGGGCCCGTGGCGGCGGCGGCCGAAGGCCCAGGCCCCAGGCCCCAGGCCTGGCTCCACGGCCGCGCTCTCCGCCTCGCTCCACGCCTGCGCGGCGCACCGCGGGGGCCCGCCGGGAGGGAGGCCGAGAAAATATTTTTTTGTTTGGGTTCCTTTTTCCCTCACATCTGAAGCTCTGTGTCCTGAGTACTTTATAAATATGAACTCATTTGATCCTCCTAACATCTCTATGAGGTGGACATGAAGGTGGTCTGGCTCCAGAGACTGTGTTCAGAACCACCGTGCTCTGCTGCTTGCCTTGGTTGCCAAGGTGGGAGGTTCAGATCCTGTGACACCAAACATGGCTGGCTAGTGTTGAAAAGAATGTCGGACACTGAGACTTAAAGAGAACATTCCCTTTTTCTGTTTTGTTTTTAGTTGAGCTCTCTCTCTCTGTTATCCAGGCTGGAGTACAGTGACACAACCATGGCTCACCGCAGCCTTGACCTCCTGGGCTCAGGCGATCCTTCCACCTCAGCCTCCTGAGTAGTTGGGACTACAAGTGTGTGCCACCATGCCCAGCTATTTTTTTTTTTTCTTTTGTAGAGACGAGGTCTTGCTAAGTTGCCCAGGCTGGTCTTGAACTTCTGGGTTCAAGCAGTCCTTCTGCCTCAGCCTCCCAAATTGCTGGGATTATAGGCATGAGCCACTGTGCACATCATGAGCACTATGCTCAGAGGCACTGTGTTGTGCCTTTCTCTAAGATGCCTGCTGTTTGCACAGCTGTGAAAAGGAAGTATTTTCATGTAGAAGAGCAAAGGGCTACTCCACTCTTTAGCAGTGTGTGGCGTGGCTGGCTCAGCTGTGGTCCCAGAGCCCGCTGTAGTGAACTGACAGGCTGCTGCACACCTATCAGCGTGGGGCCGGCACTGCCTGTTTGCTGGTCCCTGGCAGGATTACCTGGCCTTGGAATTCTTGCTAAGTGAGCACAATTACTGGGGCTCCACAAGAAAGTAGGCCAAGGATTTTAGAAAAATACAAAATTTTAATCTTTACAAATGACACTCATATCAAGCCCCTTAATTCTAAAAAGGAAAAAAAGATTTTTTTTCCATCTGTAGAATAAACCGTAGCCTACACTGACCTGATTTTAAAAATATCTCTGTGCACTTTTCCCTCCACCTGAGCACAACTCTCTGCTGACATCACAACAGAAGCTGTGGTATTCCTCTGCAAGTGACCCCTCGGAGGGCAGCCCACCTGGCCCGCAGGCCTGGGTGGACCCAGATCACAGAACTGCATTCTTCCCTCTGAAGCTGCAAGTCCTGGCCCCTGCAAAGAAGACCTGGGATATGCTGACCTCCCGCACGACTTCCCCAACCACCCGGCTCACGTTTTGGAACATGGTCTTTAAGACACCAAGTGATTTTAAGAAGTGGCTCTTGCGTGATGCCTTCCCCTCACACACCAGTTGTATGGTGGTATGGGATGCCAACCTGGCCCTCTCACCCCTCAGGGTCCCAAGTGGCACTCTTACAGTCCCAGGGTCCTGTACATGGAAGAAAGGCATCTTCCACGAGTCTTCAAGGCAGGAAGTAGTTGATTCTCTGGGAAACAGACTTGCAGCCCTGGGAGGAGAAGAGCTGCTCCTCCTTGGGGACGTACACCATCATCCTGGCGATTTCATCCAGCACCGCCTCTGTGTGCAGGAGCCCCTGGCTCAGAAAAGCATCGCGCGCACACAGCCTCACATGACGGTATTCCAGTGGCAGGAAGGGGACAAACAAGTCAATCAGGTTTTTCTTCACAAGCTGGCTGTGGCCAAAGCCACTGTCTGAAATCAAGACCAAAGTTACTGGAGTCTGGCCTGGGGCTGAACCCAGCTGGGTGAAGGGGTCCCCACATCTAAAGCCTAGGCAAGGCTTGGCCCCACAGGCAACTCCAGGAGGGCTCTGCAGCATGAGAACCGCAGCAGCTCCTTTGGAGAGGGGCTCTACTGCCTAGTGGGTGGCTTTGTCTGAGAGCAGAAACAGAAGGCGGAGCAAATCCTAACTGCTGGAGACTGAGCCATGGAGGCTGTCATAGTGAGACGCCTCCTCAGAGTCCACAGGCTTCAGAGAACCTTGCCTGTGCAAACCAGGCTCAAAGCATTTTCAGAAAAGGAGCTGGGGCTTTCTTGGCCCCACCCCAAGGCTGAATTTATGATTATGGCGTGTCCTCTGTGGTTCCAAGAGCCCAATCTGCATCATAACACATGTTCTTCCTACATACAGACGCGTTCCTTGACTGTGGCTCTCACCAGAGACTCACTTCCTGCATGACTAGGAGTCAGTGACTCACCTGTGGTCTTCACAAGCTCTGCCTGGAGGTGGGGCTCCAGCTGTTCCATCGTAATTTCTTCCCGGGACCATCCAGCCTTAAGCAGCTTCAGGACCACCTCGTTGATGATACTGCCCCCAAGGTTACTGAAAGAGGCAAGCGCTTGAGCAGATTTTGTTCTACTTAGCTTCTAAGTGGGCTCCCTGACCCCTCCACGTCTGGAGGAGTGGTGGCAGAGGGACTTGGGCCTCCTCCCAGGAGACCCTGTTCACTACTCGAGAGGTGTCCAGAGTAGATGTTGTCCAGCTTTGCCTCCCATCCACCCTCTCTTGCTCCCTTTCGACAATGAGACTGTGCTGGGTGCGGGGAGCTCAAATGGTAACACAGGGTGCTTTCCCTTGACTGTGTGATCAGAGGGGCACTCGTGTATGCAATTCTAGAACACTGGCACGTGCTAATGTATGCGATTCCAGAACACTGGCACGTGCTACAGCTGCAGTGGATGAGGTTCGAGCAGCCTGGATGCACCAGGGGGTTGTGGGTTCCTGGAACTTGGAGGAGCTGGCAGAGCACAGGGTGAGAGGCAGGCTGGGGCAGCCTTTGGGGATACGTGGATTTTAGTGTATGGGCACCAAGGAGAACTGCTTCAGCTTGGGGATGAGAGGCTGCTGGGGCGACCTGATGAGCTTTATGCCCTAAGAAGGTCACTCCAGGGCCACGGAGGCTAAACTAAAGAGGCACAGGATGGTTGCAGAAAGCCCAACGCAGCCGTGCTGGTGGCAGTGAGGCCTTGGAGAGGGAAGGAGAGGAGCAAGGTTGGAGAGTGAGTGCAGCACCAAGACAGGACCCTATGACTGTCAGTGTGTGCTTTGGGCCATTGCTGCCCCAGCAGGTGGAGTACAGCGCAGGGAGGGGGCAAACGGCTGGTTCTGAGTGGCTCTGCTCACCTGTGCTCTCTTTAGGAGCTGTGGGTCCATCAGCCACAGGAAGTGTGGATCTGATGCTCAGAGAGGGGCTTGGGCTGGTGATGTGACGGAGCAATGGGGTACGGGAGAGAACTCATGCAGAAGCCATGGCAGGGAAGCTGGGATGGAAGTGGAGGACTGCAGTCAGAGTGTGGCCTCTGCCCACCCCAGCTGGGGCTCCTCCCACCTGGGCCAGCTCCACCCCATGCTCTTTCCCCCCTTTCCTCTGGTCCAGAGACGGGAGGGAGGGAGGCAATGGATGGCGAGGCAGACAGCAAGTTAAGGAGGGGACCCAGTGTCTTCACTGCTCTCCTCACTGAGCTCTGAAGTCCCATGACACCTGCCAGGGCACAAAGTCATTTCTTTGCTCTTTTCGCACGTTCTCTCCCGCCTGCCTCCTCTGCTGGGGAGAGGCTGGAGTAGGCAGGCATCCTGCCCTAACAAGCAGGAGGGGGGAACCGCCGAGTTGCCTGGCCTATCCCGTGCCTCTTTACTGCAGGAGGCAGGGCCAGTGTGCCTCCCACAGCCAAGATGTACCCGCCCTGAGCCCTAGCTCCCAGTCAGAGGCCCTCACAGGAACAAGGGCCAGCTGTCGCCGCCTCTTGCTCAAGGCCACCCTGATCCTGCACAGAGAGAAGCTGCTTTATGACACTTCTGCTTCCTGAGCCCTGTCCCATAGGAGGATGCCGGGCAGGTCATCTGCACACACGGGAGCAGCCGCTAGCACCAGCTGAGGCAAAGCCCCACCACCCAGGGACTGTCCTGCCTTCCCCACAGGTGGCTCTGTCGACATTGGCAGCGGCAGGTGTCCAGGGCATGGGAAACAGTGGCGCTCACTCACCAGCTCCAGGGCACGGACTCCAGGGCCTTCCCTATTTTGACCCAGAAAGCCACCTGACTGTCTTGAGAGCAGGCAGCTTAGCCTATTTACTGTGATAGCCCCAGTGCCTAGCACTGTGCTCAGCACATGCAGGTGCCCAGTATTTACTAAGTATGAGGAATCCCTGCACACTTCCACACTAGCTCAGCCTCCTTTCTGAATGCCTCATGTCTCATCCCACAAGCCAAAGTCCCTTTCCTTCCACATCTGCCACAGGCTTCACTCGCCCACCAAGATCTTACCCAGGACCTCTCCCCTTGCAGGTGGGTCCTCAGGAACCCACCAGCCCCCCTCATCCTCAGCTCCTCGAGGATCCTCTGGCTGCAGAGGGAGGATGAGGCTCGAGCGGCCTGGATGCATCAAGGGGCTTGTGGGGCCCCAGGGCTTGGAGGAGCTAGTGGAGCAGAGGGTGAGAGGCATTCCCTCCTTCGTCCTCCCAGGCCACTTGCAGACCTGGTCACTGTGAGGGCTAAAGGGGTGGGAGGACACCTTTTTTCTTTTTTTTGAGTCGGAGTCTCACTCTGTCACCCAGGCTTGAGTACAGTAGTACACTCATGGCCACCCTAGCATCGACTTGCTGGGCTCTGGTGGTCTTTCTGCCTCAGCCTTCCAGGTAGCTGGAACTACAGCCGCGTGCTACCACATCAGGCTAATGTTTTATTTATTGTAGAGACGAGGTCTCGCCAAGTTGCTTGGGCTGGTCTCGAACCCTCAGGCTCAGGCAGTACACTGGCCTTGGCCTCCCAAAGTGCTAGGATTACAGGCTAAGCCTGGCCTTTTTGTTTTTGTTTTGTTTGAGTTGGAGTCTCACTCTGATGCCCAGGCTGGAGTGCAGTGGCATGCTCATGGGAATCCCTGGGCTCAGGCGATCCTTCTGCCTCAGCCTTACAAGTAGTCGGAACCACAGGTGTGCACCACCACGCCCGGCTAATTTTTTGATTTATGGTTGAGATGAGGTCTTGCCAAGTTCCCCAGGCGGGTCTCAAACCTGCGGGCTCAGGCAGTCCTCTCACCTCAACCTCCCAAAGTGCTGGGATTACAGGCGTGAGCCACTGCATCCGGCCAGGGCACCTCTCTGGACCAGCCCCAGCCCCCGAAGGAAGGGGACAAAGGCCTCTTGGGAACTGGTTGTTACCGATCATGGTCCTAGTTATAAATTCCACCGCTGAGTCTTTCCTTAAGCACTAACAGACGAGATCACTGTCTCTTGGGCCTTAGTTTCCTGGTTTGCAAACCTAGAGGACTGGACCAGTCTAAGGCACCCTCCCATCCGTCAACAGGCAGCCAACAAATACGGCACTCTGGGGCACGGGCCTGTGATTCCATGAGTAATTTCTATTCGTATAGTTCTTTCAGTTTTCCAAAGCTCTTTGTCCTTTTACTGGCGCCAGCACAAAGAAAACAGGCATTTACTGATTTCACTTTACAGCTTCAACAAGGGCAGTGGCTCCAATAAGTTCTGTGCTCCTGTCCTGCCACGGGACCCGCTCCCCAAGCCTTTTGTCCTTGTAGACATGGCAAAGGGAGTCAGTGTTACTGTCCTGGTGACCAGCCATGGGACCCGCAATTCCTCCGGTCCCGATGAGGGACAGGCCCTGAGCACCACACACTAAACTCCCTGCTCCCACCGCCACCTCCTCTCTTTCCTGCTATCAGACACCACCAGCGGGCAGGCCAGCCAAGCCACTGGCAACTCATTCAAGCAGGAGGTTTAGGTGACTTTCTCCCAAGAAGGGCTGAACTCTGTTCTTAGCCTGGTGTGTGCAGTTTGAATCGTGCTTTTCTTCGAAACTAAGAATCCTCGCTTCTAATGGGGATAAACTGAAGCTGCCTGTAGAAACCAAGTTGAGACTGAAACATCCAATGTGTGGTCTGGGGGCAGAGGCACCAATTTCAGGTCCGGGTGGTGGGAGTGGGGCTGGGAGCTCTAAGTGGCCCTCCATGTCCTGTATGTGTCCTCCCTGGAGCTCAAGGAGTCGAGCCTAACAGGGCAGGTTTCCCCCAGGTCCCGCCTCCCCTGGGGCAGACCAGTTGTCCCTGGCTAAGTGGCCTCAGACTGTCCACCGAGTCTGGGTCATGGGGGTAAAGGGCAGGGCTGGTGAGGGGATGCTGGCAGGCCGATTACCAAAACAGAACGAAGGCAGTTTGCCTGGAGTCAGCAGTGTCGCCGGGTCACGTCGGGCAATCGTGGCCCAGACAAGGTTTCCTAAGCTGAGATGCGGCTGGGACCATCTGAGGCCCATGGGCCCAAGTGGGGGAAAGGTCAGGGTGGGGGCAGGGAGGAGGAGGGACACAGGGACGAAGATGACTATTCACAAAAGTGAGAGAGATCCCTGCGGAGTGGGAGGGAGGCCTGAGCTGCAGCCACCCGCTTCCCTCCTTCCCATGGGAAGGACTCACTTCTGCCTCCAGGGTTCAGAGGGTCCCTGGACTCCGCTGGCCTCCCAGAGACCACGGGTGGAGACACAGGTGACTCCTCTTCAGTCTTGTCTGCCTTAGGAGCTGCACCTAACCTGCTGTGATGGCAGGAGGCCTCGCCGGCTGTCTCCGGGGGCAGACAGTGTGGAGCATGGATAAGAGTGAACATCAAGAGTTCACTGTCCTCGCCTCCCGATTCCAGGCCCTCAGAACATGCCAGGAGAGGGCTCCTTTTCTCTTAAATCACAAGGGAGCCCCCCCACACCACAAAGTCTCCACAGGCTTTCCTACAGAAATCCTACCCAGTGACAGGTGAATCCCGTGCCCTCTCTTCTTGTCCATCCTCCTTGAAACAAGATCTGCTCACCTCCCATGCCCTCCCAGTTTAGATAGAGTCAGCAACCCACCACGCCTCCGACATGCACACACCCCTCTCCTCACAGCTTGGGAGATCCCCCTGCAAGCCAGGGCAGGGTGGGGTGGGGGAGCGCTTGGCTTGGCTTGACTGATGCTGCCAGAGGCTGCCGGGAAGCCCTCCTGTTGGGCCAATAGGAACTCAAATCTGACTCCTCACTGGTGCGGGGCTCCCCTACCTGGCACCTCCACACACAATAAGAAGAAGCTGGACAAGTTATTATCAGTTTTTTTTTTTGAGTCGGAGTCTTACTCTGTTGCCCAGGCTGGAGAGCAGTGGCACGCTCATGGCCACCACAGCCTCTACCTGTTGGACTCAGGCGATCCTTCCGCCACAGCCTTCCAAGTAGCTGGAACTACAGGCATGTGCTACCACACCCAGCTAATTTTTTTTGCTTATTGTAGAGATGAGATCTCGCCAAGTTGCCCAGGTTGGTCTCGAACCCATGGGCTCAGGCAATCCTCTCACCTTGGCCTCCCAAAGTGCTGGGATTATAGTTCCCAGCCTGGACAAGTTATTTCTAAGTTTGCTTCCTTTAAAGCCATGCCAACAAAAGCACAGAACTGTGGTGCCAGGGTTCAGTGACAGGACCCCATGTGCAGTGTCCCCAGGGTTTCACGCAACACGGGATACCTGAGCTTCAAGTAGGTGACTTTCTCCCAAGAAGAAGAAACAGCATGTGAAGGCTGAAGGAACTGGCTGTGTTGGGCTCAGTGGGAGACCAGGCTATCCCCCAATCGGGACTTCTTTGGGAGTCTTCACGGGGAGTTGCACTTGATTTCCAGCTCATGGGAAGACTTGAAAACAAGCTCCTTTGAAGGAATCTCAGAGTGTGCACAGTCCCTCCCCGAAGAAGCTTCGGACTCTGGGGAACTGAGGGGAGCCCAAGAACCACAGGCTGGAGGAAGGGCAGCGCCTCCACTCCAAGCTGGTCCTTAGCCTATGCTGGGAGGGGTAAGAGTTGCTCAGAAGTGCTTTGGGGTGGAATCACATCAGGCTTCGGCTTGTTTTCTGTACCAGAGTTTGCTATGGTTTTTCCCAAGGAAAGGCTCTGTGGCTAGAAGAAGTGGCAGCCCTCCTGGCCAGTGCATATCTATCCCCACAAGCCCTCCTCGCCAGTGCATGTACGCCTGTCACCCAGCCCTCCCAACTGTTCCTCAGATCTCACCTGAGAAACAGAAAGATGGTTCTTGGATGCCTGGCCCTATGGCCCTCTGGGGCCCGGGGTTCCAGGTGTGGTCCGAGCACCTCCAGCAGCCCCAGGTGCAGCTTCTCGGCCTCATCGAAGATGAACAGGGTCTGGTGGCAAAGCTGCTTAGTCTTCCAGATCTGGCTGGTCAGCAGATCCTGCAGGGGAGTGGGGAGCTGCTGGGGAGCTGGCCACACATCCCCACTCTCCACCCTTGTGATCAGCTTCCCCAGGCATCTGCAGTGGATGCGGGCTGCGTTTTGTCCCACACACTACCTGATCCAAACCTCTGGGGCAGAGTAGGATGCTGAATCGAACAAGCTTCCCAGGTGACTCATGTACCCTGAGGTCTGGAAGCCTCAGGTGAAGCTGGGGTGGAGCTAGGTCAGTGGACTGGGAGGCACGAGTGGAAGTCGGAGGAGCCCTTCCACCCCTGGGCACGGACCCCAGCTCCAGCCCCGCTCTCTCCTCTCCAGGACTGTCCCACAGGGTGGGAGTCAGGGCGGAGGGGTGTGGAGAGGCTCGTGTATCTTGAGGAGCCATGCTCCCTGCCCGGAACTCCCAGGAGCAGAGCACCCACTGGCACCCTGGCGGGGCTGGGATCTCAGGGGAGCAGGCCTGCGGAAGGCCTGTCTGGGGCCCAGTCAGCCTGCGACTTGGGGCCCCCCAGGGGCCGTGGTGGGCTCCGCATCCCAGGCAAGACAGCAAAACCTCAGCTGAACAGCATTCATCAAACTGGGCAGATCATCAGAGCCAGGTCGCCCCCACCCCCGGGGCGCACACTGTCCACCCTCCTAGCCTTCCTGGACGCTGCTTCAGCTCTCCATCACTGAGTGTGTGTGTGAGGGTGTGCAGGTGTGGGGGCACACACAGGGCAGTTCTCACAGTGGGGAAGCTGGGGTCCACAGAAGCTCTGCCACGGTCTAAGCCAGAGTTCTTCTGAGGAAGGCCCAGCTGACTGGCCACCTACCCTTAAGACAGCTGGGGTTCAGGCCAGTTTGCCCTTCCTGGCCCTCCAAAGCCACCTGAAACCGCCAGGAGACTCAGGCAGGCTGTTGTCCTTCAAGACCCACAGAACCTTTCTGGGTTAACATGTTCCAATATTAGATGAGAAGTCAAAGACAGTCAGTCACCTCTATCAGGATGCAATGGGGGTTTGGTCATCTTCCGGTGTATTTTAAATACAAGTCTAAATTGGAAGAAAACCCAAAATAGCAAAATAACAAAGGAATTTTTTGTCCATCCACTTGCTGGCATATAGTGAGTCCATATGGGAAGACATGGAAAATCACTTATGATAGGCCTTTAAAAAAAAAAAATTGCCGGGCTCGGTGGCTCAGCCTATAATCCCGTGCCTTTGGGAGGCTGAGGTTTGCCTGAGCCCGCGGGTTCGAGACCCACCTGGGCAGCGAGACCTCATCTCTACAAT